AGGCCGGAGCGGGTGGGCGGCGGACGCTCCAGCCGGGGCCCCGGTGAGGCCCGTGGCCGGAAGAGGGCCCTGCGTTTGCCTTTGCCGAGGCAGGCCATCGGGCTTCGGCCTTGAGGAGGAGACTGGCAGAGCAGATCCAGGCCCCGGCTTCTGACCCCAGGCAGGCCGCCTGCGTCCCACCCAGGGCCTCCTGGCTTCAGGCCCCTGAAAGAGCCCTTCCCCAACTATGAGTGGATGGGGGATCTGGCGCTACCCACTTTTCTCTGCCCTGGTCTGGGGTCTCAGGGGGGGGTAAAGCAGCCACAGCTTAGACGTGGTGCAGTCTGGGGGCCACAGTGCCGGTCGGTCAAATCCTTCTGTTTGGGGGATGTGAAAACGACTCTTTGGGGACCCGTCCCCACGGAGGAGAACTTCCCGACGGGTGAGGACTGTGGGTAGAACCAAGATCCTTTTCAGGCCTGGAACGGCCGAGGAGACGAGAGCTCCCGGACAAGGCTGTGGGGCGGCTCTGGCCTTTGGAGAGTCCTGCCTGGGCGCAGGAGGACCATCCTTCTCCAGCTTCCAGCGTGAACTCAGAAAGGGAAACCCTCTCTTTGGAGAAGCTGGGATCTTCCCAGCACAAGAAACTTCTGCAGGCCCCTACCTGGCTCACGGCTAGCCTTTGGGTGGGACTGGAGTTTCCCGAACAGGGAACAGGGAGCCACAGTCCTTCCCCCGAGCTCTGACGGGCAGACCTCCAAGGGCCTGTGCTGTGCGATGTTAGGATAGCTTGGTGTCGTCTACACGCCATTGGTAAGTTCTGTCTGAATGTGTCCTCGCTGTTCATCGTCCAACTTGGTGACATTTCTTTCGGTCCTGACCCCTTCTGCTGCTGCTGGGTTTGAGCTTCAGTGCAGGTGGAATGACATTCAAATAAAGAAACACTTTATATCACCCATGTTGACTGGTTCTTCCCTGAGTCAGCCCCTAGGCGATCAAGAGGGATAAGATTCTCACCCCAGGGATTAGGTTTGCCTGCATTGGACTAAGCCAACTACTGTGCTTAACAACCGTTTGTCTGGTCATCACAGTAAAGAAAAACAAAGTCTGGAGGTAGACAGAGTATGCCCGACACGGCCCACGGTGTGATCAGGAACCCAGGCTCCTGTCTTTCTGCACTACCATTTTCAGTTCAGGCTTCCATCCTCAAGAACGCCTCCTGGCCCAAGGTGGCTGATGGAGCTCCAGTCCCTGGTCCACATTCCACTTGAAGGAGCCTTCGGGAAATTCCATAGGACCGAGTCACACAGCACACGTAGCTGTAAAGGAGGCTAAAAAAATGTGGTCTGCTAACTGGGCATAATACACCCAACTAAATTGGGATTCTGTTACAAAGCAGAAAGAAGCGAGTGGAAGGAGTGAACTGCTAGCAGTCTCTGCAACTCCCGATAGCACAGGCTTGACCTTGGACTTAGGATTACAGCAAATGAGGCTCCACTCCTTTCTGCCTGTGTGAACTTGGACAAGTCACTTCACCTCTCTGTAAAGCCTCACCGAATCAACAGGGAAAACAATAATGACTACGTCACAGGCAAGCTGTAAGAACAAATAAGGCGGTGTATGCACCTTGCCGAGCAGAGTGGCACGCTGTAATGCGTCCTGCATGGTCGCCACATTGAAGACCGGGGAAGTGAGTCTTCATCCAACATATTATGAGCACTTAGCATTTGCTAACTACTTAAGCTAGAAACAGTGAACAAAACACGGTCTCTAGGGTAAGTCTGGTTGGGGAGAAGAACATGTAAAACTCAAAAAAAAAAAACAAACCCTAATTTTCTTTTCTTTTTTCCTGAGTCACTCTGTCGCCCAGGCTGGAATGCAGTGGTACGCTGCTCACGGCCACCGCAGACTCGACCTGCTGGGCTCAGGTGATCCTTCCACTTCAGCCTTCCAAGGAGCTAGAACTATAGGCGCGTGCCACCATGCCCAGCTAATTTTTTTTTTTTTGAGTTGGAGTCTCACTCTGTCGCCCAGACTGGAGTGCAGTGGCCGCTCCCGGCCACCGCAGCCTCGACCCGCTGGGCTCCGGCGATCCTTCCGCCTCAGCCTTCCAAGGAGCTGGAACTACAGGCGCGCGCTACCACACCCGGCTAATTTTTTAATTTATTGTAGAGATGAGGTCTCGCCAAGTTGCCCAGGCAGTTCTCGAACCCACAGGCTCAGGCAATCCACTCACCTCGGCCTCCCAAAGTGCTGGGATTACAGGCTGAGCCACCGAGCCCGGCCAACTGAAGGATTTTAAGCAGGAGAGAAACCTGGATGATTCCCATTTTAGAAAGAGTGCTCTGGTGGCAGGGTTGGGGCTGGATTAGAGGGAGGCAGTTTCAACAAAAGGGAAACCAGAAGCCTGCCTGAAGCAAGAAGTTTGTATTCGGGAAGTAGAAATGTGGTTCCTTGGTACTGATTGATTGTGAGGATAAGGAACAGACTGGCATCAAGAAAGGCAGTTGGGGGTCAGGCATGGTGGCTCATGCCTGTAATCCCAGCACTGTGAGAGGTGGAGGCAAGAGGACTGCCTGAGCCCAGGGGTTCAAGATCAGACTGAGCAACATGGCGAGAACTTATCTCACAATAAATAAAAAATTAGGCCGGGCATAGTGGCTTACACCTGTATTCCCAGCACTTTGGGAGGCAGAGGCGAGAGGATTGCCTGCGTCCAGGGCTTGCAGGCTAGGCTGGGCAACTTGGTGAGACCTCATCTCTGCAACAAATCAAAAAGTTAGCTGGATGCGGTAGCCAGCTACTTGGAAGGCTGAGGCAGAAGGATCTCCTGAACCCAGTAGGTTGAGGTGGAGGCCAGAGTGAGGCTCCAACTCAAAAAGAAAGGCAATTGGGACTACAAAGATTTGCCAGTATGAAGGGAGCGAGATGACTGTTCAGTTTAAAATGTGCTAAGTTTAAGATGTGAGACAATCTCAAATTCATGTACTCACTCAACAAAACGTGCATTGGACACCTACTCTGTTCAGGTGCTGGTAGGGCTCTGGGAATATAGAAACAAGTCAGGCATGGGCTAAGAATATGATGCCCATTAGGAGCACGATTGCTCATTGAGAGTATAATTCTGTTTTGCTTCTTTTCCTTAAACGTAACATACACACAGAATACAACAAATGCACAGCTTAACAAATTATTGTAATATTCCCTTTACCCACCAAAGAGATTAAATCTTACCAGCCATCCCACAAAGCCTTTCATGTGCTTCTAAACACATCTCCTTTCGTCCCTCTGAAGAGTAACCACTATCTTGATTTTGATTGTAATCATGCCCCAACTTTTATTTATATTTTTTCACCAAAGTGAGCATTGTAAACAATATAGTTTAGCCTTTTTGTTGTTGTTGTTGAGAGATGAGGTCTATGTTACCCAGGCTTTCTATCCTTAAGTGATCCTCCTGCCTCAGCCTCCCAAATAGCTGGGACTACAGGCATGTCACCATACTCAGCTGCCTTAAAAAAAAATTTAACATGTCTGTCTTTCCCCACTTTATCTCTTTTTCTTCTTTGCAATTTATTTCTGAAGAAACCAGACCATTTGTTATGTAGTGTTCCACAGTTAAAATTTTGCTGGTTTCTCAAACTATAAGAATCTCAGAAAATGCAGGAGACGCCCTTATGGAAATTGGAACTGGCAACCAATTCCTGATGAAAACCCTAAGTGCCCATACCATAAGAAATAAGATAGACAAGTGGGACCTAATT